CATAATGTAACATATATAAAAACTAATACTATAGATATATACTTTATAAAACCCATATAACCAAAAGAACAAAAGGGGGAAATAGGTGTAGCATATGATACAGGAAAAGGGTAAATATAATAGAAAGCTAGATTAATAAAATTGACTGTTGGATCTCAGAAGATACTCTCAAAAGGAAATACAGCTCGTAAACAAAAGTTATGAGAAAATTTCACCCTAATTATTAACCGAAGGAATGCAGATAAAAACAAATGATCAGGTACTGTTTCTTTTTAACATTTTAATTGTGGAGAACTTTTTTTAAAGTAACTAATGCTTAATGTTAAGAAACATTTTAAATTTTGCTAGTGGCTATATAAATTCTTAAAGTAGTGTATCAGTATCTATTAAAAGTCTTAACCCATTTCCCATTTGCCCCAAGAATACTCGCTGGCGACACTTGCGGCTGCAGCGTTTACCCCAAGATAACTCATGGATCACAGTCCTAATCTCACCCCCAAAGTTTGCCACGAAATATCTCACTTTTATTATTATTTTCACATTGCTCTAGTATACTGACAGCCTTTGGAAATGAATAATATCATTCTATATATAGCATTCTGTTTTTAGTAGCAGTATTTCCATTTACAAAATATAGTAATTCTCGATCGCTGAAAATGTCAAATCCTAGACAACGTAGCATTCCTACATGCAATGTTAACGTCATTCTCAAACAGTTGTTAGCTGAAGGTCCATTTGATGAATCCGATTTATGTATACATTTCTGTTACATTAGGATTAGAGACAAGTTCTGTGTAGAAATAACTCCAAGAACAGTTTTTATATTGTATTTTCACATTGAAAACCAGTCAGATTTGCTTCAGCCTCAAAGAGCGTGTTTATGTAAAATTAAATTAACACTGGCAGCGAGCTGTACTTTTTTTTTCTAAACAGGAAGTGGGTTAAAAATGTTTATTCTCTTTAACTGAATAACTCCACTTTTGTGAATCCATTTGAAGAAGATAATCCTAAACAGAGAAGATTCATAAAGATGTTCATTGCAGCATTTTTTATAATTTCAAGGAGCTGGAAACAACCTTGGAAATAAGTAAGAGAAGGGTGAAGTCCTATCATGTATGTATGAATCTTTTACAAAGGCAGCTGTGCTTAT